ACGTATGAATGCAAAGAAAGCACATATGAATATGTGTATGTTCTATATCGATTTTTTTTTTGTAACTATATGAGTGATATATATATGACATTGATTAAGTCTTAGAACTACACGAATGCAAAAGTTTTCGAATTTCCTGTCCTATCAACTTATTCATTATATGAAATGAGAAATGGAACTACTGCGTATGACAACTTCAATGGGTAAATTTTCTAGAGCTCCTTACAAGTATTAATTAAATGAAAAAACTATAATCGTTTGAATATGTGATTGAATTGAAAAAACATTTAAGAAGGAACGAAGCTCATCCAGAAAGTAAAAATCTTCTACTTAAATTTACAGTATTTTCACTTTAAATGAAAATGCATTGCTGGCTCATGCCTACTTTTAAGTTCAATTAAAATAAATGCTGACAACACTTTCAATTAATTATGTTCCGAACCAAAGGATAATCATACATATATTTTACTCGTCTCGTATTTTAATACAAGGACTACATTTCTTTCAGCGGGGCTATGTAAAGAGAGAGTATGAAATGCAGAAAAAAATGACAAAATAAAAATTGAACCGAAATTAAAATTGACACAGGCTTGGTTATAAGGATAATAATTGATACTCATACAATTTCATTCAATACTGACATTTGCGTACTCTGCCCAACAACACATACATAAGGGATCCATGTTCCGAGGTAAATGAAAAAGTAAATATTATTCCATAACCACCAGAAACATATCAAGTGCGATTGCGAAGGCGCTGCGTAGCTATAGAAGTGGCAAGGACACGAACTCTTTAAAATAAAATATCAATTTATTTTTCAATGTAAATATTGCGTCCGAATGAAAATTAAAAAACACAGCAATGCAATCACATGGAATATGGAATCAGATGGTATTCACGACTATGAAGTGAGCTATACAGCATAGGTAGATTCCAAAGTCAGGTGGATTTCAAAAAGAGATGGCTGTAGTGAGGTTATCTAATATCCATTACTTCTCTTCGTTCAAACGTCATCAAATGTTGATAGCAGTTAATTGAGTAATCATCTTACCGATGCATGTAATTGTCGACTGATGATGTCACTACAAATATTAATTTATAACAATTTCTTTTTACTATGTAGTTCAGAATACAAGCTCATCTTCTTCATCTCCTTGTGAAGCAAGCGTGAAGATCGAATACTTAAAGAGGTCACAAGAGGTGACGAAAAACAGTAGATAGAGAGATAGCAGACATGACCTATGCATGGAGTTTGTTTGTCGTGAGAGTTCCAATTCAAATTAAAATAGGTTGTTAAGCTTTAAATAAGAAGAGAGAGCCACAATTATCTTAGTAGGAGCATCCAGCTATAAAAAGTTCACTAAAAACGGAGTAGAGTATTTCTACATATTTTATGAACTAGTATTGTCCGCAAAACATTTCTCTCGAAGAGTATAAGACTCTGACAGCCAAAATATAAAATAATGAAAAAAACATAATGTCGGATGAACTTTCGTTTTTCTTCCTTGAAAAGACATTGGAAAAAGTTACGAATGACAAGATACAACGATTATGAGTGTTTCAAAAAGTGGATCTATCGGATTAAAGAATGTATAGAAATTATGTTGAAAAAATTAAAAATTATGGCGATTAGAGAGGTTTTTGTCAATTTTTATGTTACCAACTAAGCGAACTTTATATCTGCTAAATTTTACACTAAATTTTACTTTTGTTGTTTAATTTTATACGCGAGTTAATTGGAATCTCCTCTGCTCTGGATCGAAAAACTGTTTTCTAGTACAAAGTCAATAGCTTCAGTTCAATCCTTAATCCTTTTAGTACCTCTTCGGAAAATTTTGATCAAATCTCATTATTCTCAACTAGAACAGAAAATTCACTATTGACTTTTCAACTGGATATGTCAAGCGATCAGGTGGTGTTTATTAGAAGAACGTTTATCTTTTTTAATGCCTCGAAGTTGGTTAGCTGAGAAAATAAACAAACAACATACTTATAAGAATATTAAATTATTCTAAAGCTGTTGGCTAATGAACACTGACTCTGAGCTTCAAATTTGGCCGGGCACGAGTTCAACATTTCGTACTTGCTGTCTCAAAAAATTATCCACAAATAATTATATATAGAAAATAATTCCAAGAACACTAATGATGGGTAGTTGGCAATATTCGAAGCAGCTGGATGGTCAGACTAAAACTCAATTAATTAAAAATAATAAAAAATTGTTTGTTTTAATTAAGTAAATTAACATGAGGTGTAATAAATTATTTACAAAATTTAAATTGATTTATTTGGGATATCATAAAAATAGCAAAAAGGGATGTTACTGAAATATAACAAAGAAAAATTTGCCTATTTGTAGTAGTTTAAAAACATGTCGCAGGCCACACAAATATTAGCAGCGGGCAGCATGAGGCCCTTGGGCCGGCTTTGGATAGCCCCGATCTAGACCATAGCCAAAGCACAGCCTGTATTTACCTATTTGTAGCGACCATTTTAAAGATGTTGATGGTTTTTTGAATAAAAAACTTTTTTTTTTTTGGATGATTTTTTTTTTATGCCCTGCGTATCGATAATATAGACAATGGACTTTCTCTATACAATTTGTTTTGCTTCTTGCACTAAGGATAATACTTATAATGTTTTAAACATTTTGTGGATGTTATTTTGAACCAAAAAACAATAGTTACAAATTAGTGACGACTATCGCTTCCACATCTGTACAGCGGACTGCTGCACTGCGGGTAACTTCTGCATACCGAATTGTATCCGAGCCAGCAGTTGTAGTGATTAGTGGAATCATTAAGATATAAGCGAACAAACTTTTCAGATTTGGCAACAACAATGGAACTCTGATTTAAAAGGAAGATGGATGGCAAAACTAATTCCGAATTTAAAGTCGTGGACGGAAAGAAATTTCGGCGCGATTGACTGTTATGTCACACAGTTCCTATCCGGCCATAGATATTTTCGAAAATGTCTATACAGAATGCAAAAAGCAGCGCAGTCCAACTGTATATACTACGGATCCGTCGAGGATAATGCTGAGCATAATTTCTTTAACTGCGAAAGATGGCATGGAGAAAGGACACTACTTGCAGAATATATAACTCATTTCACAGTCGAGAATATCGTAGAAAAAAAGACAGAACGGCAGAAAATTGGAACAAAATCACACAATTCATCGGAAATGTGCTAAGAGAAAAGAAGAAAGATCTGCATGCAAACTAATCTAAAATAAAGAGCAATCTGACGACATTCCAATTCGTATCAGGAGTGAGAGCCGAAACACACATTCTGAGATTGAAAAAAGTACACTCTGCTGGAGTTATCAACAGTATCACACAAAGATGAATGGCAAGATTAATCATCTACAACAGCAGCGGAGTCTGGACGCAGGTCACACCAATGGAAGTCTTAAATGACTAATAGGAACCCTTCCTCAAAGTAATATTAACATAGTCCCAGGGTACAACAAGGTCTCTAGGAATGAGGGAAAATGGTTTAGGCCGTGCGAGTCGGGCACTCACCTTTCGGAGGGCCATATTGTGGTTAGTGCGTAAGCATTCCAGTCCTCCTGGTCGCCACAAAAACAAAAATTGCTTCGACATGAAATACGCGACGTACCAGGTTTATCACGACATTAATAAAATTAAGCGAATTCACATTCTACGGCTTCGGTGGCTTGGTCGCGTCGTGAAAATGAATGACGAAGCTTCAACGACATATAGGAGGACCATGTCTCTGGTGGGAATTAATATTTGGTCAAGTTGAAGGAACACTAACCGCACTTGATTTCTGAGAGTGAAAAAGGTGATCACGCACCAGAGATGCCTGTAGAGGAGTACTGCGTCGGGTTAAAATCCAATAATGAATTGTTATGTCATTGATAAAGTTTTTTAAGAAATTTTTTTGAATTTATTGTACTTATTACTGCCCTTTAGTCGAATTATTTGCTGTTGTGTTAACGTACTGTTGCTTTTGTTTGGAAATTGCTTGTCAAATTCAATCATTTGAAATTTGAAGTAATTTCATTTTAAGGTAAATGTAAATTGCGTTAAATAGTTTTTCAGGAATAAAGATTATTTAAAATCAAAAGTTTGCTGAGGAACAAAGTCTGCTCCATTAAAAGTGTACTAATGTTAAGAGCACATGAAGTAAAGAAGGATATGAAAAATCAGGAGTTCATTAAAAGCGAAGTCGAAAATGAAGCAACTTTTAGAAGCAGAATAATTATGCTGATGGCACTTAAGTACGTGTATGGACGAGGACATATAAACTTATGTAGAAATATATACAAATAGTATTGTATATTGTATATATATATATATGTTTTTGCACATGAATGTGAGGATTTTGGAAAGTTGCAAAATAACTGGAAAAAATGTTAATTAAAATTTATGAACATTGCACTTAAAATGCTGAAGTTACAGCAACATGTGCAGAAGGACTTTCGGTGTTGTCAACGATTTACATCGACTGCAGAAGAGACAAAATCTTAATATTTCCTCGACCAATACGCAATAGCTCACATTTACCTGTGAAAGACTTGCATATGATTAATGCCGTCATCAATAATTCATTACAGATTTCATGTCCGACTTTACTGTGCTTGTATTGAATGTATATATTGAAGTACATCCCTTTCCTTAAGTCGCTTCAACATAAATCTGATGTATGTATGTCATGTATGACTTTTTCCATTTTCATTCGAAATAACCCAGAAAACTTCTTATGAGAGGAACACGTGTTGTTGTTTTTTGTATCATTGCTGATATATGCAATGAAAGCTAAGAGACTATAATTGTATTTATAATACATGCAGCACATACTAAAAAACAAAAAAAAATTAATTATTATATGCACTGCAGTTTTCCCTTCAATGTTTCATTTAAATTTATTTTTCCAGCTTTTCGTCATTTAATTAATACTGTTTTTTAAAATATCGCACTTGCATTATTTAATTAACAATCAACTGTTCTTCACCTAAGTAATGTACTTACGTCTACAGAGATGCTATTCGTCGATGGAAATATCTTCCACGCTGGATTCTCCTTCGGCGTGTAACGATAAAATTCCCTGCGTCCACGGTACCACTTCACAGTGTATAGTGATTCGTCCTCGATGTCGTAATTGCAGATTAACATCGCATTATCGCCACGTTTAACTGCAACCGGAATCGTTACGCTTACGTTTCTCAGCGCCGTTATCAGATCTGCAAGGAAACAAGGACGAAATGTTCGTAAATTTAAATCGTTGAGTTCAAATTGAAGATGTGTTAAGCTTTTGACATTTTAAAATGATTTAAAATGTTATAAAAGAAATAAAGTTTAATAAGTACAGTTTTTAATTACATATACCGGTATGAAGTAATATTGTTTTTTCTAGGGTCTTTCATTAATCAGTTTTGAAACTGCTGGCCTGTAATATATGTATGAATATGACTATATATTTTGTGTCATCTTTATACATACTAAAATGCTTCTTAATAAGATTATTTTCCTCATTGCTGTTCTACAGCGAATTTTCGTTATAAAGAATTGATGAAATGTTCGTAAAGGAACTTTGAACTACAATATAAAATATTATATGATGATTGACAGAATGGAATACGTCGCTCAAAGAATTTCACTAACGAATGTTAAATATTGATTGATTTTAAATTTTAATAAATAAATTGCAACTATTCAAAGGCCGATGTAATCGAAATATGATTCAGTTATGAAATCTGCAACCATAAATAATAAGATAAACATAAATGCTGATAGCACTCCCTTCAAATTAGTCCCCCTTTGATATTATTTACTTATGTTCACCATACGTATTTAATTATTCACTTATGAAATAATTATTCACTTTTGTTGAATGATTATAAGTGAATAATAAGCGAATAAATTGATATATCTTACTTATCTCACCAAAGTTTTTCAATATCTCGACAGTAAATCAAACCACCATAATAGAGATTCGAATAAAATAACTACAATTTTATGTTATATTAATTAATGTGTGAGGTATTGTATGCCCAATGTGTTATTTTTAAAATAAATGTATAGTCATTCGCAATATTAGAATAGGTTATCAATGCACACAGACAACCTACATTAGTCTACCACTAAGAGAAGTGGCTAAAGTACTTAAATATTGACAATAATACGTATTTGTTAATATTTAAGTACTCCAGCGTCTATGTTACACAAAAACGATACATCAAATGCTGGGAGGGAGTATAATCCCATTGTGAATGACTACAAGGAAACCATCGATCGTAGAAGTCTCTATTGGAAGTGGGAACAGGGAGAACATATAGCAGTAAACTGTACTTATTATGGAAAAATGCGTCGTTTACAAAGGCAACCATGCAGCAGACAATGTTCGTTGTTTGAAACAAGGCATTATTGAAGTACTGTGGGAACATTTTTTTGGAGTTAAAATAAATTTCCAAGGAGATCCAATATTATGCACTACACAATGTGTGCAGTATATTCGTGTGTCACTTATTACACGGTGGCAAGCCCGGTATGCTCGTCGGAAGAGTCGGCTCTCCCTTTCTATCTGTAAGTTACGATGTGACTTAAATGTATTTATTACAACTCTCTTAATTTTGGATTGTTGCGTCAGTATGGACTACATAATAAGAGTAATAAGAGTGGCACTAATACCACTCTTATTAGGTTTCGTGTTTTAACACAATTATTGTTCTAATCTACTCTCTACTGTTAACTCTCATGTAGTAGATATTTTGATATATAATGTAGATATTTTTTTTATTACATTTTTTTACGATATTTATTCAACAAATTACAATATAAATAAATACAATTCAGTTATATTTACTTTGATAACACAAAAATATAAATTCTATAACAATTAATTCTATAGGATTATAAACTTTTAAAAAATTCTTAATATAAATTATATTTATAACAATTAATTCCAAAAATAAAAACAATAAAACAATTTTTCTTTTATCAACAAAAAAATATAATTATTTTAAAAAATATTATCTAGACAAATTGCATTGAAAGCAATAATAAAAAAATATTCATCAACTATAATAAAAAACAAATAAACAAAAAAAATAAAGAAAGGTGGGGTATAATATGTAATTTGTATGTAAGGGAGATATAACATATGAGAACAATATAAATCTTATCAATTAAGTTCTTCTTCTCTAGTTTACTATTTTGGACAATTTACCTTACAGTCGCAAAAATGACGTCATATAAGCTGTTATTGATTTAACTGAAAGTTTTGCTTAAAAATTTATTTGTACTAAAGCAACAAAATATTAACCCATTACCTGACAATGGTGCGAAAACGCACCATATGAAAGGTAATGTTTTAAAATTCGTTAAAATTTAATTAAAAGGTTTTTGTGCTCACATTTATTTTTGTACAACAGGACTATGTTTTACCTACATTATATAATTTTTTTGGACCTGAGTAGTATATATACAATTTAATGGAATATTTTTTGCAGAGCCTAGTTTGTGTTATTTTAAAATTATAGGACTTCAGCTTATTTTTATGCCTGTGTTATGTAAATGGAGAAAATTTATTTTAATTTTTTACCTAAATCTTAATCACAATAATGTATTCTAGCGAATCTATATAAATTACAAGCTATTTGGTGTTTGATATATGTACATCACACTAACTCTCGAAGTTAGGTGGTGCGAAAACCAATGTCATAAAACGAGTACCAAAGCTTCTTTCAGGTAAGGAAACTATTGCTTGCAGCAGGTGGTCTCAATTGATTTCTTAGCATAATAGCGATTAATAATAAACTTGTTGCAACTTATAGCGAGATATATTCCAAAAAATTTTTTAATATGTGAACCTTTATTTTGACTATGATGCGAATGGTGTAATAGGCTACACCCACTGGTGCGTGGGTGTAGCCTATATTGAGCGGTTTAGCAAAAAAAAAATTTTTCTTTTCTTAATTAGAGGAGTACATAACTGTACAAATAAAACGGTTTCAAGAAATTCCGCCTACTTCTAGTAGCGTCAGGTAATGGGTTAACATAAGTAGTCAATAAATTTTAATAAATTCGAGAACTTTTCTTGCACTCTTCTTTCCATTATTTAGTTTTTATAGAACTTTTCTTTAATTTTGGTATGTATATATATAAACATTATTTATATTATTAATAAATAAAAATTTGTTTGCTTGTAATAATATTTTATTTAAATTGTAAATGTAAAATTTATTCTTAAATAAGTTTTTTATATATAAAAATTTTCATAAAGAGGTTTTCGAACAGAAGTGAAACAACAACAAAAATTTATTTTTTAAATTATTTCAATTAATTGAATTTTTGGCTGACCATACAGCTGTTTCGAGTATTGCCAAATACCCTTCATCAGTGGTCTTGGAAATAATTCTTATATTTTAATTATTCGTAAATAATTATTTTTGAGACTGCAAGTACCAGGAATCGAACTCGGGTCCTGCCAAATATGAAGCTCAGAATCAGCGCACCTTAACCAACTGATCCAAAGCCGTACTTGACTTTTTATGTTCGCATATTTTGCTGGAGTTTTGTTACTTTTGCTATGAAAGTTTTTATTAACAATTTTACTTGCTGTATTTATATATTCAGAACGAAATCATAAACCAGCTGTAGAATAATTGAATTAATTAATTAATTATATTTTTTATTTTTAATTGTTAAATTTCAAAACTATTCTATTCGTAGAGGCATTATTTGTTGCATGATTTGTTCTTTCTTATGTATAGAACCTAATCTAGGAACGTAATGCTGAGAAAGTCATGCTAATGTTCCTCCACTAGTCGCACGGGCGAGAACCAATATTTATTGGCGAGAACCATATTTTTGTGAATAAGTTGTAATTTAACGTCAAATTTTCCAGACTATAAAAATTTTCCTTATATTTTTTGTGTATTTCTTGGTGGCAAATATTTAAACTATATATAAACATTAAATTTAATTTTGAATTACAAACTGGTTACTAAATTTAGCAAAATATAACTAGCATATTATAAAAAAAATTAAAAATTGATTTTTCTTCGACTAAATTAATACTGTTTAAATTTTAATTTATAATATAATAAAAAACTATAAATAGGAATTGAACCATTTATAAGATCTATTGAAAAATCTGGACTTCGTAACTTGCTCTCACTCGTGAAATACCTACACACCGTCTCGCTATTCCAACGGCATATGAAGATCCATACTGTGCTTTTGTCCATATAGTCCCACTTTCCAGCATTAGGAATCAACTTGGTTTCCCTTTTGGATTAAGGATGAGTAAAGTATTATACGAGTTACTTAATTTGCATAAAATTTTATGATACAAAATTTGCTTACTGTGCTTATAATCCAAATTCACTGGATTCATGCCATTTAATTTTTAAAATATAATGAATTAAGGCAGTGTCTCCAACTATCAAGACAGAACGTTTTACTACTGAACGTTGTTAATTTTGCTCGAATTCCGTTTTATATATTTTTAGCACACAATTTCCTTTTCTTCTTGGATTCATAACTATATAGAATTTGAAAAAAATATTTTCACAGCACTTAGCTTCTATTTCGAAGAGCTCGGCATTCGGACTTATAGTTTTAGAAACTCTTTTATACCACATTTTATTCCGGAATAAACAATATCGCGAATATCATTCCTATTACCGAATTCGGAATTTCCATTACTAGGAATTGGTATCACTATTCGTTCACTATTCTATGCGTTTATTTAAACTTTATTTTTATTTTTTCGTGCTTGACTTTGGCAGCATTGCTTCTCCTAATTTTAAATTTGCCTAAAGCTTTCGCTGCATCTTAAGATCAAAACAAAAAACCTATAAAAGCTTTTTTTCTTTTTTTTTCCGTTTTTGTATGTGCGAGCAATGTACATTTTATTTTCAAAATTAAAAGAAAATAAAAAGAATTCTAAAATATTAACAAATACATATATTTTAAACATCATATATGTATATTTAATTAATACGAAATATAATGTGATAGCGATATTGCTGAGGTGCACTCTCACCTTATAAAAAAAATTAAGAAGATAAAGTGCAGTGTGGACTGCCCCCTGTACAACGTGGAACGTTTCAGGTAGTGTCATAAACTCATTTTTTTTTCTAACTTTAATAAGTAATCCCCCACAGATCTACACTACACTATCTTTTTCTTAAAAAAAGGCAGCTACCACAATGCACAAACCCGGCTGTCTTTAAAGTACATAGAACATATACTAATTGGGTATTCGAACAACAGCATTTGGATACCGTATCGATGAAGCTCAAT